CTCCAAATCCAACATTTAGAGTTAAGATTTTATTGTATTCCTTGGAAATCTGAAAATTCTCAAATAAAAAAAAAAAATCATAAAATGTCACTCTAGAATCCTAATCACTCAGTCTGTAAACAAAACGTAAGGTACGAAAATGAACAGTGTGAATTAAAATTGATTTTACAAACAAAAAATTTATGGAGTCATCGGATTATTTTCTTATGGAGCCATCCACCACTTAATGTATTGACACCTGTTTAAATTGTACTAGTACAGAGCCCGTGCGATGCACGAGGTGCACAATTTTAAGTCTATTTATCCAGGATTATAATTATATACATGAATAAAGAAAAATGTACGAGATATATATAGTACGTGACCTGTGCGAAGCACGAGATATATTCATTTGGAGAATATTATATTATAAGATGCAATATTCAATAAAAGTTTATAATACGCAAGAAAATTGTACAATGTTCAATAAAAGTTTTATAATATTCAAGTGGAGTCTTAAAGTCTCTTGTACATTAAAACTACTAACAAAATAATATTTTAATCAATGAGTTTCATTTCCTTGTAGCTAAATTGTGAATATGATTTTCGGAGTACAACAAATCGATATATTGCTGACTTGCTTTTTTCATTGTAGTTTTTTTTCTTTTTTTTTTATAATGAATTTAAAGATATTCTAAAATATAGCAAAAATTAATTTTTTTTATTACAATTAGGAATTTTACTAAATATAAACTCTCAATCTATGGTGTTAATCAACGTTTAAGTCTAAAAAATTAGGAATTTTTACCTCTTTTAATCAACGTTTAAGTCTAAAAAACAATTGAGTTATTATAAGTTTTTTTTTCTACATCTTTTAAAACATTAAATATGAGCATGTTAGGGCTAGCTTGTAAAATAATTAATATATTATCTCACTAAAATATTATACTAATAAAAAATTAATTTTAGCATATAAATTTATCCCTTGATATAAGAGAAAGTAACAGTTTTACTTATTGTTGTTCACCATATAATATTTAATTATTATTTTATTATATAATAAAAAAAAAATATTGTTAAATAGTGTAGTAGAATTGTTATAAAATTATATGATTTTTTTTTTACAATATGGATTTAATATTTTTTTATGATTTGATAATATAAACAAATCTATACTGAACTTTGACAAATAAAACAAATAAATACTTTTGTAAGTATTTAATGTATATACTAAATAGAAATATATTTGGTATAATCAAATATCAAATATAATCAAATAAGTCAAAGTGTACATTTTTATTTGGTATTTGATTTTTTTATTATTCAAGTATTTTTATTATACTTACCTTTTTAAAATAAAATAAATAAATAAATTAATTAAATAAATAAAATATTATAATACCAAAACAGTAATGACATTTAATGCAGTTGACTTTTCTAGATAGTAAATGTAGTAAATAGAATCTCCTTTTATATAAGTATAGATTGTATAACACGGAAATAGTAATGCAAGTTGACTTTTCTTTATACTAAATCTGATAAATGGTATACCTTTTAATATAAGTATAGATTTATTACAGAACACATATCAATACACTATTTATTAAATATGGATGAGTCCATAAGTCGAACCATCCAATAATGTCACAGTAAAACTGACAGACGGATATGTAATACAAGTTTCCAGATTAGGGTTTCTCCACTTTGACCAAAATAAGAGTGATAACATGAGATAAAAGAAACTCTCATTTCTTCAGTAGCTGTTGTAATGCTCGTTAATTTCGTTTAAGAAGCTCGAGTTGGACAAAAAGAGAAATTTTACGACAAACAGGGGAAAATTAGAAAAATAAAAAAAATTCAGACCCTGCTTCTAACCCTAGGTTGTGAGGGTTGACCCGAGCCATGGACGAAAATGAAGCTCTGGGTGGAGATCCGAGCGAGCAGTTTCACAGAAACGAGGCGATCTCCGCCGTGGCCGACGAGGGTTTCCTTGGCGAGGAGGAAGATGACTATGAGGATCTCTACAACGACGTCAACGTCGGCGAGAATTTTCTGCAGTCCCTTCGTGGGAACGAAGATAATTTAGGTCACAGGAACCAGGAACAGCCGACTTCGGTGGTCCCAGCATCGACCCCGACCTCGACGGCGCCTCCACCTCCGCCTCTGCCTCCAGCACCACCTCAGCAGCTGTTGCCGGTGAAGAGTGGAGGCCTAGCCTTACCGGATGAGGGGGCTTCATCTGGGGTTCCCGATAGAGAAGAGGGTTACCAGACTATAGGATTTAGAGAAAATAGTAACACGAGCAATATTGGAGCTGGTAGAGGGGCGGGAACACCAGCTGGTGCTGGTAGCGCGGGTGGATTGAGGGTTGAGCTGGTGCAGCCATCGAGCAAAGCAGCTGATTTGGAGGAACCTGCAGTGAGCACCGTCCTGAATATCCAACAAGTGGTTCATAATCCTCCTCCTCAGCAGCAGACACGTCTCGGTAATATGGGGAGTGCTGAAAATGCTAGGAATGTCAATGGAACTGGTGGAAATGTGTACGGAGGTGACAGCAGGGGTGGAGTGGCTGTCATTGGAGGTGGAGTTGGTGGAGGGGGAGGAGGGACATTTCTTTTTGTTGGTGATCTGCATTGGTGGACAACGGATGCTGAACTCGAGTCTGTATTGTGCAAGTTTGGGCCGGTGAAGGAGGTCAAGTTTTTTGATGAGAGAGCCAGTGGGAAGTCGAAAGGCTACTGTCAGGTGGAGTTTTTTGACCCTGCAGCCGCCACTGCCTGCAAGGAAGGTATGAACGGGCATGTATTCAACGGGCGGCCTTGTGTGGTTGCATACGCCTCGCCATATACTGTCAAAAGAATGGGCGAGGCTCAGGTGAACAGAAACCAACAGCAGATGGGTCCAGCTGCTGTTAATCAACCAAGAAGAGGCCCTGGCGATTTGTCTGGAAAATCTGGCGGCGTTGTTAACAATATGACCAGTGCTGGGAATCATCCGGCTGTTGGTGACAACAATGGTAGAGGCTTCGGGAGGGGAAACTGGGGCAGAGGTAATAATCCGGGAGGGATGGGGAACAGGGGCCCAATGGGCCCCATGAGGAATAGGGGGCCCGGAGGAATGGGTGTTCGTGGTATGTCCGCCTCTCCCTTATTGCATCCTCAGGCAATGATGGGCCAGGGTTTTGATCCTGCTTTTGGAGGCCCAATGGGTAGAATGGGTGGCTATGGAGGCTTTCCTGGTGGTCCAGCTGCGCCATTTCCTGGAATTTTATCCTCGTTTGGACCAGTTGGAAATGTCGGCCTGCCTGGCGTTGCCCCTCATGTTAATCCGGCATTCTTCGGTAGGGGGATGCCGATGAATGGGATGGGCATGATGCCTAACCCTGGGGTCGAGGGGCCTAACATGGGAATGTGGTCTGATCCTAATATGGGGGGTTGGGCCGGTGATGAACATGGAGGTCGAGCGGGTGAATCGAGTTATGGTGAAGAAGCTGCATCAGACCATCAGTATGGGGAAGGGAGTCAAGATAGAGGGCCGTGGCCAAGCGCAGCTAAAGAAAAAGATAGGGGATCAGAAAGGGACTGGTCGGGATCCTCTGAGAGGAGGTACAAGGAAGAAAGAGATAGTTTTAGAGAAAAGGACATGGGGCGAGATAACGAGTGGTCAGAGAGGAGAAACCGTGATGAGAAAGCTTTGGGTAGGGATAGGCAGAGTGTGCGGGAAAGGGATCGCGAGCGTTCCCTAGACCATGAACAATGTGGGGGCCGTGAACGTGAGCGTGAACGGTATAAGGATGACAGGGACAGATATGTTGACCATCACAGGCACAGGAGCCGTGAAAGGGAGTATGATGATGAGTGGGACAGGGAAAGGTCGTCGTCCAGGACGCATGGCAAGTCGAGGGTGTCCCATGAGGAAGAGCATAGATCGAGATCAAGGGATGCGGATTATGGGAAGAGACGGCGCCTTACGTCTGATTAACTTGACCGTGTTTGCAGGAGTTTCGGGATCTTCTTAGAAGGGGAATGGTTAGAGGCATAATGAACTGTTTTCAATGTTCACCATGACCACTCAGTGTCTGCTGCTAGGTGCTTTCTTGGATACCCTAGATGTGGGAGTTGTTCTGCTTTTCTGTGATTTTTGGCTTGGTAATTCACATGATTCCTTTCAAGGTGGAGCTTCGTCAGTGCATAGTTCAAGTAAGGTTTCTTTCTTTTTTCAGTACTCTTGAAATCTGCTTATTTTTTCAATTTTTGTGGGTGTTTTTGCCTTTATGTGTGTAGCTTTGTTAGTTGTTCACTTGCTTTCTCCTTTCATTGGGAAGTAATACTAGATTGTACATTTGATTTTTCAAGCTTTAGAATTATCTCTGTTGCACATTAATAACTTGTGATTTCTTTGTGCATATCTGTCTGTCCTCCTAGCTTCTGGGATTAAAGTTTTTGTTTGATCTGGTAAATTTTCTTTCATCGAGTAAGACTATACCTGTCGAACTAGGTGTGGTTGAATTCTTAGTTAATGCAAGCATTAACTGATATATTTTGACAAAGTTGGGTGGTGCATGTCTTAAAATTATGGTGGTTCCCTGGATTACTATTTGGGGATTACAGAGCATGGTTTAAATGCTGGTTAAGCTGGATATGAGAATAAGACAGTGAGTGTAGTTTGAATTATTTGGTACTTCTGATACTTGTTTGTAATTAGGTTGTCTTATATTAATTAGCAACCATGGTTCTGTACTTCTGTTATTTCCCAGTGGATGACACTTTATTAGTTTATTTTGATTTCTTTAGTTGCCATTCTCATCTGAGGGGAGGTCAGCTGTTTTTCTGCTTTGCAGTATGGTAGTTGTCTTGCTTTGGGTCTCCATGTTGTTGCATCATCTTGTTTCTTCTATCATAGCATGCACCTCTGGTAGAAATAAAAAATTATGCGTCATTATTTATGCAACGGAATACAAATGGTATATCTTTCACGAATCCAAATCCTTTTTACTCACTATGGAGATATTTCCTCCTTTTATTCCGAAATGTAACTAGTAGATTTAGTAAACTTGGTTATATATAGTTAATAGGCAGTTGAATGCCTAGTGTACTTGGTCATGGATTAAAAAGGTGGCGGCAGAATGTTAGAACTGCATACATGTCTCTGCCATAGTTTTAAATGGCGAATGGCGATCCGAGGCGATTCACCCATGGCCTTGCCACGATGTGAGAGGTGTGTCCTCGGCACATCAAATGACCAAAAGCGTAAGGAAACTTGTATAGATAATTATATTGTATATTAAGTTCAAATGCCAAAAAAATTCTCGAAGAAATATAATAAAATTTCAAATAAATAAAATGAGAAGCAATCCAAATAAATAGCAGCACAATTTGCCATATCAAAATTTACATGTGATTATTGTATTATAATACTAATTTTTTGTTGTGGGAATAATGTGCAACAGAAAAAGAAACCAAATATAGTAAATGGAAAACAAAGTAATCTAAAAGTATTTGAAAGAAGGAAAAACATCCCAATTTGCAGCCTTGATTATTGACCATTATCTGTCGCATAAAGAAAGTTAACAAAAAAGAAACTGAGAGAAACTGGAAAAGAAAAGAAACAAAAAAGGAAAATTTTGGTTAAGTGATAAAGAGATAGCACTGCAACACGGGTCACCGGTGGTCAAAGTAGGCTGGAAATAGGACAGGTCGGCCATAGATTTCTCCATCCAGACTAGAGTAGCTTATCATTTGCAGAGACCATTGTTTCCGTGCGGGACTTCTATGTGAAGGAGAGAAGCCCTTTTTTTTTTTTTTTTTTTNATTTAAGTTCATCTTAACTGGACTGGTGAGTAGGGCACGCCTTTGCGTCAACTTTGGTGAGAGAGATGGGGCTGACGGGGGTGAGGTGATATTACATCCAAGTCTTGCCATTTAAAGCACTGCTCTCTGCTAGACATGGCCAAAACTGGTTCTGGGGGAGTATATTTTTTGACAGATTTGGTTACTTACAGAATCCCCAATTGTTCAGCATTTTTATGTCAAAAAATCATCTTTGCATCTGATAGGATTACCATCACAGATAAGTATGTTATGGGGTTGTATAATGGTATAAAGACCTTATAGTTTCCCACGACTGGTGGTCTAGGTAGTAACTGTAAACTGAGGTAGCAGTGGTGAACTAGGTTTTTTTAACAGTTTAGTTTATAAATATCATTGACTGTAACATGTGTCATTAGTACCAAAGTTGTGATATAGCAGTTCGATCACATTGGTAATTTTGGTGTCATTTCATAATCTCTATTTTCGCCTCATTTCCTAGTTTCCTGAACGACATTTTTTATTTGTAATTTGATATTTGCTGAGAAATCTTGAGTGAATTCGATGGCTACTCATGTTGTGTACATGATATATGTGGTCCTTACGAGTTACTATCTTTCTGATTAAGAAAAATGTTCATGTATCGCATAATTAATCTCTACGATTTTGTTTTTTCTACTACCGATGATTTGTTGATGCAAAATTGGTTTGTTTGATCAATACATGATATCTGTTGTTGGTTAAGCATGTGTAACAGTCCACTCTTTTTTGTTTACGTGCAAATGTATCTCATGTATATCCTTTGATGTTAGCTTGAAGGATGTGATATTTTGTATTGGGAGATTTGCTGCTGATCTGGATTCTTGCAAAGTACTTGGGACGCCGAGCTTTTAGTTAAGAGACGATGAGATGGCATGGTGACACTTTATACATACATATGGAACATTTTATTTCATTTGTCAGACTTTTCATCTATTTTCAAGAGTTTTTAATATGGCTTTAAAAACCAACGTTGTGACGATGGATAATTGCTCGAGTCTGAGATGTGGTGGACATTTAAGATTGTGTTTCATTATGAATGCGATGTATTAGATTAAAGACTGAGGGTGTTTGCCATTATTTGCCCCATTTTTTGTATTTACCTTTTTTTTTTTTCTTAATTCTTCGATCTTCCCCTTTTTTTGTAAGGTATTTTATGTTTTAATGTGGCACTGTTTGCAAATACCATGTAAAAATGCTAACTATCACTGATCTCATGTAACTCCCGGGTTNCTATGGTGATTTTATGTATAGAATTTCCAGGAATTGCTTGTAACCATCATAATGAGAAAGGGCATTGTTTTTGCAGTACCTCCCTTGTATATGTGCAAGCATAATTTTAAATTTGATCAAGTATCTTGCCTTATGCATTTGTTAATTACTACGGTTTACTTGGAATCTGAAACTGATTCAGGGGAATGTGAAATGAGCTAGGATTATGTTGTACTATAAATGATATCGTATAAGTACGAAGGAAAGATGCAGAAGAAAGAGAGTTGTGATATAAAGTGTATTTTTAATTATCATTATAACTGTACAGTTTTGCTATGGGGCTATCGGATGGTTTGACTTATGGAGTCATTTACACTTATTCACCAATAGTGTATTGACACGTGTCCTACAATAAATACAATTTGGACATGTGTCAATACATTAAGTGGTGGATGACTCCATAAGAAAACCATCCGATGGCTCTATATAATTTTTGTATGCAGTGTTAGTAAAATGTATATGGATGCATGTATTAACGGATTAATTTTTAGTAAGAAAAATTAATTAGTTTATTAGATATATCATTGCGGAAATGAAATCCCCCTTTTCCCCTCTGTGCAAAAAGTCTCCTTTTTCCTCCGCAAACAGCCCTAGATCCCATAGTCGCCCGTCTGTTGATCTGCCTGGCTTGGCCGGGCCGCTTGAATGCGAGTTACGAGGTGCCTCCTTGGATCCTTGTTTCAAGCCCACCGACATTTTATTGGTGGCTCCCATTCTTCTCTCCAGCTCCAAAGTCTTCAGTGTCTAGATTTGGACCGAAAATTCGTTTAGGCAATTTGAGTAACTGTAGTTTTTGTGTTTGGAGTCTAGTTTAGGGGTTTTTGGTTGTGGGTGTGACTCGTTTGTCACTTTAAGTGGTCGCGTGGTTCATCCACTAGGTTTAGGGGAGGTTTTAATCTATCTTTGTTTATTAGGTATGTATTTTTTGTCTTCCTTTGTGTGTGTGTGTTTTTTTTTGTTAAGGCCAACGGTGTCTGATGTCTAGTTTCCGTTATAGAGTTGTGTTTNAAAGAAAGTTGACACCAAGAACAACGCGCAGAGTGTTATTTTTTCAGAAAAGTACATGGATGAGATGTAGTAAGAAAGAAATAATTTTAATAAATCTCAAAGATATACAATTTTTTTGTACCCGACAGTTTAGACTAGTTTTGCTATAAAACTCGATATCCCAACTGTTTCATGCCATTCTATATTCAATACAGGCACAGCGCATAAAATATATGTTCCCGTTATTTCCATTCAAAGTTACATAAATAGTTACCCAAATTACATAGGAAATATGTGAAACAATAGAATCATGCCGCAGTCATTCATAAACAAGCAGCCCCAACAGACAGACATTAAGCTCAGGCCCAAAATCAAGCAGTAAAAAACTACAGAATATCAAGCGGCAGAACCACATTATGGATAAACTAAGACACCAAAAGTCGAGAGAAAGCTACCAACACTTAAAAATACACAGCTAGCCTCAAGAGGTCGACTAATGCTACAAGCTAGCTAAGACGCCACTATAAGTTACAGGAAGGTAGTAAATAGGATGTAGATAGTGTACACAAAAGGAGCTGTTCAGGCCTTTACAACATGGGTCGAAGGCTTCTTTGTGTTAATGTCAGCATCATCATCACATTCAGCCTCATCATCATCCTCATCAGCCTCAGCAAGTTTTGTCAGCTCTTTCTGAATCATAAGCTTTATTGCTTGTTTTCTAGGCACCAGATCAGTCTTGAATTTCTTGGCTAAACGAAGTAGATCGGCAAATGAGAATTGGTAACGACGCAAGTAAATATGGAAAATGAAGTAGATCAATAGTATTTTTCTTTTTATTTTCAATTCACTGGAGGAATTATTTTACTCCTACTACAAAAGTTCTCCATAAATACATTACTTTTTCTACCAACAATCACGTATACTAGAGACTTCATGAAACAACAAATCATTTACATGTTTTGGTATTTCGTTACTCTTGCATTCACATATTTCTAGCTACCAATCACTTATAATTCATGTCTTAATATTTGTATATCACATTAACTTTCATGATAAGAATTTCATCTGAAAATAAGAATCATATGTATGCCGACTTACTGAGTTGCTTAAGAATGTCGGTGAAGGTAGCCTGCAATAATAAAAGCATCCTTTAGAAGAGAGATGAAGAATGAAGAATCTATGCATTAACTAAATAACATAAACCAACTTCAACAACTTCAGACTCGAACCCTAATGTAAACAAAGAATTCCAGTCATCAGATGGGGCATCTAAAAGGCACCCCAGCAGAAGTTATACAACAATTTTCCCAAAATTAGTTGCTTTTTCCCGAAGGTTTTCCAGCGTCTGGGTCTGATCCAACTAGGAGAGCATTTAAAGACACCGAATAATTCCTCCTAATCTCACCTCACCTCAACAATCCAGAAACATTAAAGAAGATAGTTTTAGAAGCTAACCGTATTGAAATCGACCACTTTAAGGATTTCACAGATAGCCCCAGTTAGTTCAGCATCAGTTGGCTCTGATTTCTGCTCCTTGAGCTTATCCTTCACTTTAAGAATTTTATTCCCTGCAGTTGAACACATCACAAAAAGCCTTCACCTAATTAAAGTACACAATGTTGTAATAGGAACCAATTATTACACTCACTATACAAGAAGTCGGGCTAGGCCCCCACCTAGGCGCTTGGGCAATTAGGTGGCGCCTAGGCGGTCTAGGCGGTTGCAAAGTTAGTTTAGGCGCCCGTATAATTAAAATCTATCAAAAATACTTTTTTATACATGAAATGTACAATAGCTATAAAATAATAAAATAATAATAACATATAATATAATCATTATAAGTAAATAATATTTTTTATAGAAATTGTATTTAACCATAATAATTAGTATATTTTATAAAATATAATTTGCAAGTTATGCATGATTTTAAATATAAGCATATTTATTAGTATTTTCACGACCCCGCCTAGGCGCTAGGGCCCAGCTCGCTGCCTAGGGCGCGCCTAGCGCCTTTTAGAACCTTGATTATAATAATATGCAGCAATTAAAAAGCACAGGATTAACTAAGATTCTCACCAGTGCTTTCCTTTGAACCTGTCTTCTTCCCAGACGGTGACTTATCAAACGATTCATCTTTCTTCTTACCAGAAGATTTTTTTGCACTTGCATCATTATTCTTTTCTGCTCGGCTTGGTAACTTAACGAACGAGTCATCTTTCTTCTTACCAGAAGACTTCTTTTCACTTTTATCTCTGTTCTTTTCTGATCTGCTGGGTGATGATTTTGCAGGTGTTCTTTTGGGTGGAGAACTGACCTTTTTAGAGACGGTTGCTTTCTTGGTTCTGGCTTTGCTATCAGATTCTTTCTTTCCAGAAGACTTTGCTGAAACTAGCTTCTTTCCCTTGTCCTCATCAGACTTATCTTCGGATTCACTTTCCCCAGCTTCAGCTTGTTCAGTCATTTCATCATCTGATTTTTCTCCAGTACGATTTGCACCATCCTCTTCATGGGCTTCCTCCTCTTCTCCTGATTCTTCTTCAGACTCAGAAGGCATGCTTATCTTTGTAGAATTTCCCCCAGTTATCTTTCGACTCTGAGAATGCAAGACATAATATTAGTAAACAGTACCACAAGCAGAGCTTTTTCTACAAAGGCAGTTCAAGAATAAATTTCGAAATATTCTTCAATCTAATTTCACGGCTAAGCAGCACTTTACAAACTAAAAGAAATATGCACATAGTTCGCGTTCGGTCAGGCTACCTTTCTTGTTTCTTTAAGAGGAATGATACTAAATACAACCAGAATGCGCCAGGACCTTTTTAAAACAATATGACCTATTAATCGATAATTAAAAGCAGCACGACAACGTTGTAATTATATCTCATTCAAGAAGAGATACAGATAAATACAAGCTATATTTTAACAAATTCACCTCCAAAGTAAATAATGAAGGAGTAAACACCAGAATCTAAAAGGTGCTACCTTAGCTGAGCCTTTTGACGGTGTATTACTCCCTGTCCCAGATGTGGATTTGCTCACCCTCTTTCTCTTTTTGCCCTTACTCGACTGGTTATATGCATGATAAATGTAAGAAATTACAAGAGCCAGAAAGACATTTCCAAAATTACTCCACATTTTACCTGCTCCTTTTCAGCGAGTAATTCAGACGTAGCAGCATGAGGCTCCACCAAAAATTCTACCAACTTAGTAATAATATCTTCCTGATAACAAAATTGCATAAGTTTAACGAGCATTGCAGCAAAGATGCAGAGTTCTATGGTAGAAAGTTTTCCATGGTATTTGATATGAATAAAAAAGTAACCTATTTATGCATCTAAAAAACCAATACATTTAGATCCTGAGAAGGACTACAGTAATGATTTAAGGGTGCGATTGGATATCGCATTTTTCATCCACTAGCGAAAAATACACTATTCACCCATTTCACTTCTTCTCTCCTCAATTTTATTAATACATTTTTTTAAAGTACAAATCAATAATTGCAACACACCTCGATAAAATTTATTCATCCACTTAGACATTTCTAACTACCAATCATTATTTTGTTGTTTCTCAATCACATCACCTTTAATTATTACTTTTATCTTACATCAATTTACATTATAAAAATAATTACTTCTCCACCAAATATTTTTTCACTACAGGGAAAACATTTTCAAAAGAAAAGCATATCCAATAACACCGTTACTATCAAGGGCACGTGTTAAAAAATCTAATGCTAGCTACGAATTTGAATCCTTTTATTGATCTGAGAATTGGAAACGGACCTTCATTGAACTAGCCTTGGAAATTGGTATACAAAAGATATCACAGAACTCATGTAGCTTCTCCTTGGCACACTTGTCAAGTTTCTCTTTGACTTTCATCATGTGCTTTTCCTGAAATGATGTTCATCAAGAGAATTCAACGGGAGAGCCAAACAGAATGTAGCATTCTACAAAATTTGCTATCAAGTTTCTTTATTACCTCATTGTCACGCCAAACAAATCCAGAGAATTTTGATATGTGGTGCTTGATTTCAGCAGCCTGAAATTCAAGCATGAAGAATAAATAATACATTTTTTTCAACAGCAACAAGAAAGTAGGGCACCACCAGACGGACATTTCATAGTCGCAATCTGTTCATATCAAGCAGTCAAGCACAAATCGCTGAATCGGTTGTGAACTATCACGAGGCAAAATTTTCAAGGTTGGTGAATGAGTTGTAACACTTGATGCTAGTTACATTTGAACCCCATCACAATACGAGATGTAACTTCTCATGAAACAAAATGTTTGATATAGGGTAGATGAGCACAAATTGGCGTAAAGTTTACAAATATGATTAATTCTGGTCGGAACTCCATGTACTACAGATTGAATTCATTTCAAGGAGACTAATCAAAGTAAAAATAATGAGTTACAGCACTTGATGATGAAACCAAGTGATATTTAGCCTAACCTAGAATATGCTAGAAATAAGAATTAAGAGTTACCTTTCCTCTCCTTCCAAAAAGAATAGTATGCAACAGTTTGAGAGTATCCTCACTCTTATTTCTTGACAACCTGTATGCCACTGAAATAGAACAATGGTTCAGATATAAAGTATAAATCCAAAATCTTTTTCCTACAACTGTGCAGCTGGCATCATCTATTTTCATTTAAGCACATAAAACAAAATGATGTTTTCAACAGAAATATAAAACATAATGCGTAGATAAGAAGACCAAAAATTGAAGGAATCATAAGAGTCAAGCAGTAACTAAGCAACAAACAAAATGAGCAACAATTTACTATGAAACACAATACCATATTATTTTACATGTCGAAAACAACAGATACAGGTGAGCGTATATGCATGGAGATCGAGCAATGTAAGTTCCATATCTCTGCAAACCACTTCCATAGACAATATCCCCAATCAGTACACATGAGACAAACCATAATGACCATATAGTTGATAGAAGCACACCTAGAGGGTTTAGTGAAACAGCATTGCTGCTGCTAAATTTTACATCATCATGCACTGCAGTTCTAGTTAAGAGCAGTAAAACCTAAATGCTCATCTGCTTTCGTAAAGCCTATTACATACCAATATATTTATCATTTTTATTCAATTAAACCTACATATATGTATAAGCAAGAAGAAAACCAAAATATACAGAATCAGAATTATGAAAACACAAGTATATAAGAGTTCCAAACAAGTGAGCATTTTAACCGCAAGAGACTATTTAATTAACCCTTGATCACCCAATTTTTGTGGACTGAAATTGAAATGACTCGAGACTGTCTGATAAAATAAGCAAACAGATTCAGGTGATAAAATAAGCACCGGGATTCAAGTCCAAGTAACAGTGCCTCACTCAACAATCAGTAGCATAAAATCCATGATTTACAAACCTAGATGATAAATTGTAAGTATGCATCAGGGATGAGTCAGAAAAATTGTTTAGATGGCAAAAGGTACTGAAGATAGTACATGTGGTGCAAATCATGAGCAAGATCATAATTGTTTAATGCCCTCACAAATCATTCTAGCACTAAGAAAAAGAACAAATTTTTAGGCAAGCCCAAAGTTGTATCACACTCAACACTTCATTGTGCTAACAAGAAATGTTCAACAGCAAGAGAAAATCTTCAAGTTGTTTCAGTAAAGACAAACACATCACAATAAATGCACAGCTCATTTGACTTCGTTGACAGAAGTGAAAAGACAAGTTCTAGGTTCTGCATTGCAAAAATATACCACTAGGGATATCTTTCAGTGCGGTTCCACGACCCTGCAAGAAAACAATACATGTCTCAGAAATAAATCTTCAACAACTTCTAGATCAAGTTTCACAACAAGAGTACAACCACTAAAACTTTACTCAAAACCCTTGATAAAAGCGAATCAAAATAACACACCTTTAAAACATGGAATTCCTTAGAAGAGTCCTGCTCAATAATGGCGACCAACCTTTCAACGGATTTTCTTTCACGTACAGGGCGCTCAATTCTGGAAGCTGCAGGAGTTGTTGGGTCTTCCTTCTCCTTTTCTATTGACGACTTAGGTTCATTGGTCTTTTTATCATTTGGCGATTTATTTCCTTCCACCGTATCTTCAGGGCCCTTCTTAAAGATTTTCTTTCCCGCTCCGCTCTTTGTTCTAGGACGTTTTCTTGTACCTTTCTCTTTGATGGCCTCATCTGGATTTTCTTTTTTCTCTTTCATTCCATCAACCTCCTCTTGAACTTTATCCTCAATCTTTCTGTCCATGTTTTCTGCTACTTCAGATGCATTCCCGGTCTTTTCCTCTGTGTCTACCTCCATTTCCTCACTCGTTTTTTCCTTCTTTTCTGCTTCTTCAGATGCATTATCGGGTTTCTCCTCCGTGTCTTCCTCCATTTTCTCACTCTCTTTTTCTTTCTTTTCTGATTCTTCAGATCCACGATAGGTTTTCTCCTCTGTGTCTTTCTCCATTCCCTCAGTCTCCTTGTCCTCCATTCTAGGACGTTTTCTTGTACCTTTCTCTTTGATGGCCTCATCTGGATTTTCTTCCTTCTCTTTCACTCCATCAATCTCCTCTTGAACTTTATCCTCAATCTTTCTGTCCATGTTTTCTGCTTCTTCAGATGCATTTCCAGTTTTTTCCTCTGTGTCTTCCTCCATTTCCTCGCTCGTTTTTTCCTTCTTTTCTGCTTCCTCAGAAGCATTATTGGGTTTCTCCTCTGTGTCTTCCTCCATTTTCTCACTCTCTTTTTCTTTCTTTTCTGATTCTTCAGATCCATGATAGGTTTTCTCCTCCGTGTCTTTCTCCATTCCCTCAGTCTCTTTGTCCTTCTTTTCTGCTTCTTCAGATCCATGCTCGGTTGTCTCCTCCATGTCTTCCTCCTTTTTCTCACTCTCTTTATCCTTTTTTTCTGCTGCTTCAGGCACATTCTCCGTTTTCTCATCTGTGTCTTTCTCGAGTTCCTGTTCCTCCTTTTCTGCTTCTACAGTTGGAATCTCAGTTTTATCCTCCATGACTTCTTCCATTTCATTTTCCTTCTTTTCCGTTGCAGTTGAACTCTCAGTTTTATCCTCCGTGACTTCTTCCATTCCATTTTCCTTCTTTTCTGTTGCAGTTGAACTCTCAGTTTTATTCTCCTTTTCTGCTTCTACAGTTGGAATCTCAGTTTTATCCTCCGTGACTTCTTCCATTTCATTTTCCTTCTTTTCTGTTTCTACAGTAGACCTCTCAGTTTTATCCTCCGCTTCTCGTTCAATCTCCTTTTCCTTTTTTTCTAGTTCCGCAGTTGTATTCTCAGTTTTATCCTCTGTTTCTCCCTCTATTTCTTTTTCCTTCTCTTTTCCTTCTGCAATTCCACTCTCTGTTTCACCCTCTGTGTCTCCTTCTATTTCCTTCTTTTCTACTTCTGCGATTGTATCCTCAATTTTTTCCTTGGAGTTTTCCTCCATTTCCACACTCTTGATTTCCTTCTTTTCAACTTCTACAGTTTCATTCTTTTCTCCTAATTCCTTCTTGTCTTCTTTAGTACTACTCTCGTCCTCCTTTTTATCGCTTTCTTTGCTCTTAACGACTTCTTCTTTGTCCACATCCATATCCTGAGACTCAACTTTCATTTCATCTCCTTTCTTCTCTTCTGTTTCAGTCACTCCAACCTCATACTCCCCTTTCTTATTCACCTCAGCTTCAGTCACTTTGTCCTTCCCACCATCTTTCTCAACGCAGCCATTGGCCACTGACTCAAGCTTCTCAGTCACGGCATCTCCCTCACCCATAATAGCTGAACGAAGTATGCAAGTTGCGCAAGGCCTGATATTTCCTGAGCACAGTACAGTGTCCTTAAATAGATATGCTTGACAAAAACTACATAATTACAGAAGGAGGAATGGGCAAAAATCCAAATAGGGAAAGTCAGGAACAAAGGAGACATCAAACATTTTGTGACAAAAAAGCCAACATGAAACCCGCATGCTCATTGCATTCGTTATATAAATTTATGAATTCATGAATAGCTAGCTCTAAACAGGCAAAAATGTCATATAATATAATATAATATACATGGACAACCTAAAAATTCCTTCCACTTCATCCAAACGTCTGCATGGAGACAGTTTTACAATCCTTAGGCATGGACTTTCTAAAGGCCCCAACAAGATCTACCTAATCAGTACCACAGACACAACCTCACCATTACAGAAAAATTATAAAAAGAAAAACGAGGAAGATGGCGAATCAGTAGAAGAAAATGAACAGTAACCATGTAAAAGGAGTCAAACATCACACAAGCTTGTGAATTCCCGAAATGGGGAAATCCAAAACCCTAAAGATACCAAATTTAACAATAAATTCTCAATGAGGAGAGCAGAAGAACTTGATTGAAGTTCGGAAAACAAAAACTGAAACGGCGATCAAATGGAAAAATTAACTGAAACTTACAGAGATTGAAAGCTGCTCTCCAAGTTCACTTCCAGGATAGAATAGAAACGACTTTCGTTTTGTATTATTATTATCCCTTTTTTTCCTTTATTCTCTCTCTTTTCCTCTCCCCTTAAATTCTGATTCCGAAGGACCCCTCAGCGTTACTTATATGGCGGACATGAAGCTAGTGTATTAAATCCAGTTTAATGCCATGTCGGATCACGGAGACGTTGGGTGGGATCCTAAAACCGGACATTGCGCTTTACGGCTGGGATCAGTTTGTGTGGGCGGGATACATATTCAACGGACCAGATTTCATATTCACAAGAACGTGCTCTTGTTAAAGCTTATCTGGCTATGGGCTGCCGTTGTTGACGATATATAGCTGGTGGCCGCTTCGATATTTGGGCCGATTTGGGCCGATATAGAGTCGGGCTGAAATGTATGTTTATCGGTTTCATCGTCATTTGTCTGTGCTCACCCCTTGTCCTGAAATATAACGTCTTGGAATTGTGGGACACCACATCCCCTCAGATTCCAGTACTTACTGAGATTAGAAAGGATACATCATCAAAATATCTAGAAGAAATTACCCCATCCAAGACTAGCATTAACTTTATTTGCAAGTAAATGAACTTTAATTTATATTTGTATACAGATGAATTTTGTATTTTAAGATACGAAAAACTATATAAATTTGTATAAAAGATGAGCTAACACAATTAATAATACTAGTACAATTGCCCGTGCAAATGCACTGGGAGCTACAAAAAAAAAAATATCATTAAAAGGGCATTTGCAATTCATACGAATGCAGAACGATTAAATATTATGGAACACTTCCTTATATACAACGTTCTTAGTCATTGGGCTGTTTTATCATCACAAATTAATATTTTCAATCCTTTTACATTTGTAACTCTGAAACAGCGACGTAAAGTTTTGAGTTGTTTTTATCATCGCAAATTAATATTTTCAATCATTTCCTATTTGTAACTCGTGAAAAAGCGACGCAAAATTGGTCATGCGTAAATATAGATTTCTATAACATTCATATAATTACCGATCAATAATAAGTCCTTACAGAAAGAGCCTTTAGCCAAATCGGTAAAACTTTTGAAGTTATACATAAATTTCGAGAAATTTTTATTTGAAATTTCACCATAAAATTTATCTTCAACCTTGCTATATTAGTTTTATATCTGCCGCTGGTGCTACAATAAAGTGTGGATACCCATGACTCCACCTTAGATAAAAACAAATCTACATGAATTTTTTTGATTGAGGACGTGTATTTTTTATTCCTGTAAAACATTAAAAACACAAATATTAGGAAACAAAATTAAATAACATATGTATAATAACGAAATTAATAAATAAAAATGTCTTAAAAGAATAACCTCAATATCAATTCCCAAAATTTAAAATGAAATTTTTTATAAAATTCAGGCAAGAAGCATACGAACACTTATAATTACTTTAATTTGTAAAGTATAGATTATAAAAATTAGATAAATAATTTAAACTAAAATCTTTAATAAAAAATATAATAAAATTTCATAAAATAACCTGTCAAATATAAACGTCTCGTAAATGGTTAGTGTTAAAAAAATGAGTTACAACTGATGAACACGTATTAAATTGTTAAATAATGGGTCTTTGTTAGTTATCGATAAACTAAATCTTTGTTAGTTATCGATAAACTAAATAAATATTTGAGTAGTTAATATTAATATAATTATGAACACGTATCAAAGAATGTGAGGATTTTCTAAAAATAGTAAGAGTGTGGTAGGACCCACATAAAACTTTCTAAAAATAGAAAGTGTGTTGCCTAATTATATAGTAGATAGATAGATTATTTCACTTTTCTTTCAAAATCGGTTACAAAATATTTTTTTTTTCTTTTTTCTGTATACATCTCAATTGTGTAACGTTTTTTATGACCTTTTCTTCATCCATCATTTTTATCTTCATCTATAGTATTATGTAACAATTATTACTTGATCTGATTTGGCAGAATTCATGTCTATTTTCTTTTCAATTTTTCTTTATCCTTGAGTACATAAAAATAGTTTATACATTAATTCAGATTCTAAAATGATGTAATGCTCAATCTTGATCTGATCTGACGGAATTCATGTCTATGTCCTTTTCACTCTACTTATTTGTTGAATTAATGTGACAATATATATAAATATACACACACACACATTAAAATTTCCTTTATGCTTGAGTACGTAAAAATGATTCACACAATAATTTAGATCCAAAATTACAAAATCAAATAATTTAAACATAAAACTAAAAATATTCAGTGAGCTATTTCAATATATATCTCCACCTAAGGAAAAAAAAAAAACAAAACACCTACATATCTAATTATATAAACCATTAATATGGAATTAATATTGCAAACACCAATATATCTAATTATCACATTGCCATATTCTAATTTTTTTATATATTTTTTATGATTCTCAATCCAAATGCTATACTGCACTATTCGGTTACTAATGTCATTTAACTAAAAAATATTACCTAATCAGGAGATGTCAAATTTTGTATGGCATTATTAACATTTTTTTTATTTTCCATTACAAACCAAATAAATTGGAATTTGCAATAATTTATCCATATAGCATATTTCAAATAATTTTATGAATTTTAAAAATTGCATATTTGAAGCATAAATTATGTAACTATTTTTATCCAACTAAGTAAATGGAAGACTATTTTTGGAAAAACAAATCATTATTTGTAAACATCATATAAAATCCAGGTCAAACTTATTATTATTCCAATCTCATCCCATCCTATCCATAAAAGTAAAAGAGGCCATGATGCATATAAATTAGTTTTCAAAATTTAAAATAATATTGTAAATTTAATTAATTCTTTCTTATAAATTTTTATATATTGTTATTTATTTTTTTCAAGTTTCAACAAAATACATCAATATTTTTTCTTTCATTTTTTGCTGTATATTTAATTATGTTATCAAACACCCTTGTAGTACACGGATATTGTACTACTGATACATAGCTCCTCAAAGCAGCAGGTTATAAACTTACTTGGAAAAAAAAGGAAAAGTTAGAACAAAATCCCAAAGAAGCATAAGCTTCAACTTGGTTCACATCATCAATTCCAGTGCGTCATTCTATTGACAGCTCTTTCCCAAACGCTTATCAAGTCATCCAACTGTATTTTTACTAATGCATCCCAATCTATAGAAACAATCGCATACATGACATAAAACAGTTTCTAAATCTTCATAAGAAATTAGAAGAGAAAAAATCAGCACCATGCAGAGAGACTATAGCTAAAAAGTACTAGCCATGCAGCAAAGTTGATTGTTTGATCTGAAATAGGAGAAAAACTCAATTTCACATGGGAAAAGGAGTGCCAAAACTTTAGAAATTGAAGGCCAGTTCCAATCTGGCAGATGGCGGTCCAGAGTTTTCCAAACCTTGGGGAAAAAATACTTTGACGTTTTACAAAATGACGCAATACAAAAATTGATGCAAAACTCATAAGTTCAGAAAATACAAGATAACACTCACCAAGCCTGAAACACCAAAGGATGGAAGTACAGAAGGCGTGCACATTACCATTCCTGCACAAACTCAAATATTTGACTTCAAAACTCACCATACATAAGTCGACCTTCCAAGAATGTCATAGTTCATTTCCAGCAGCACTCAATTGCCTTCAGCTAGTTCTATTGGGTGTTGTGTGTATCCCGTTTACTGTCTTCACATCTGCAATTGGTTGAGGAGGGTGAGGAAAAGATAAGGCGACTGGATATAGAAAAAGAAATCGTTTTGTCTAGCCGGATATTTTTTTATTTTTTTTATTTGGGGGGACGGAACTATGACTGGATACAATTTTTTAACTCTAACCACTATTCATATAATCCAATTTTTTTCTCTTTAATATTATCAATATAATTAAATAATAAAAACCAATCACTACTACACATTTTCCAACAAAATTCACTATTCATCCACTCACTTATTTTTAACTATCAATCATTTACAATCATTATTTATATCACATCACATTTTATCTCATATCCATTCACAAATTCAAAATTAATCCATTCTTACAACAAATCAAAATTTTCCATTCTTAACTCACTTTTTTCCAGTTAATCAAAATTAACCCAAGAAATCTATATCCAATATCCCGTGCATCAAATTTCTCATTAACGAATACCAACTTTATCAGATTTAATATGTCCCAAGTGAATTCTATCTCTGTTTATTAGAGAGAGAGAGAGAGAGAACCATACCATTATTGTAACCGAGGAATTCCAATCCAACAGCTGAAGGCGTCAAGCCATACTGGGCCAAATACTGGGGATTGTAAAACTTACTCAGGTGCCTCAACCCACTATCACATAAAATTGTGACAATGGTATGACCGGGTCCCAGTTTCTGTGCAACTTTTACAGCCCCCACACAGTTCATCGCTGAAGAACTGCCAAGAAAGAGGCCATCTTTTTTCATCAAGTACCTGAAAGACAAGATGTCTTAAACATCCACAAAAAGTTTACATTGTTTTTGGAATAACTTCTATTTTCAGAAACACATTTCTCATGTTGATACATAAGCCTAACCACCTCTAAGCCGGACAAAAATTCTACATAGGTTCTTTCTCAGGAATGCACAAGAAACTGGAGCCGAGTAACTAATACACAATCCCCTTACAAAATTATTGGGCAACCATGTCATCCATGGTGAACAAAAACTCACAAAACCTATAATAAAACATGTAAAAGAGTCAACAGAGCAAGTGACTCGACATGACATGGGAAGTGCAAAATGTTTATATGCATTTTGCCAATCTGTAACAAACAAAAAATAAAGAACATCTTAGCTATTATTTTCTCAACACAACAAATTTAATACCCAGTGATGGTCTGCATGGTGAAGCTAATAATATATCATGCACTATTGCATCTAAAGTATATCAGAAACAGAAATCACACTACTTACAGCACTGTACGTATCCAAAGGCTTCAATGTGCGGTAACTAATCTATTCACCATAACGGACACTACCAAACTGACAGAATTTAATCCAGTTCCTTCAATGCTATGGATTACGAAAGGCAAGGAAAAATCCTAATCTGATATTATCTCCCAAACCAAGAGCAAGAAATATGATTAAATCGTTAGTCCGTCATCTAAGAAAGTCCAAGAACAAGTTAGACCAACGAACCTAGACATTTCAACAGCCTCCTTATCCGAGCCTCGGAAAGCCCCGTCAAGTTGAGCCAATTTAAAATTTTCTGTTAACCTGTTGATTCCGATTCCTTCAGTGATTGTATCAAAAGGGTTCTTCAATCTCTTTCCTTCAGCCTCCTCCTTAGTGTACATCACTCCTCTTGTCACCTTGTTGAACAAACCAGAACCAGGTGGATCGATCAGAAAGCACTTGATTGAAGGTTTCTTTTCCTGTTGAATATGCAGAAAGAAAAGAAAAAAAGGTTATATATGGTTACACCATGTAAGATAAACTTAAGGGTGTGTTTGTATATGAAAATACTCAATTCACACTCAATTCATATTCAAAATCTAACTCAACTTTAACCCAACCCCACTATCCTCATGATAATATAATTAAATAATATCAACCAATCATTCTGACACATCACATCAACTTTAATTTATTATCCATCCACTCACATAATTTTAACTAATCATCAGTTCACACCATCTCTATCCTACTTTTACATCAAATCAACTTTAATTATTTTATTTTAAATATTATTTTAATATCAAATCAAAATCCCACAAACAACTAACCATACCACTTTTTTTTTTTCAAAATTAACTCTGGTTAACCAAAAAAACTCATTTTGAGCGGATATATCCGGATACAAAATATTCCACAATTTGGCAGATATCAACCTTCAGAAACCGAGAAACTCCTGCTACAGTGCCACCCGTGCCAGCAGCAGCAACAAATGCATCCACTTTCCCGCCAACTTGTTCCCAGATCTCGGGCCCAGTGCCCTCATAGTGAGCCCGATAATTGGCAAGATTCTCAAATTGATCTGCAAAGAAACCTCCCTTGCAATCTGCTAAACATTCTGAACTATGTGTTAAATCATCCGGATCATGGTTGATATTCTGATTTAAGTGACTGCTATCCCTGCTAGCTTCTTCTTGGTGCTTTGAAGCTAGTTCATTTGCCTCGAGTGCTCTTCTCCTCGCAATATTGACAAAGTGGTCTCTATGCGTGATTGAAACCGGTCTAACTCTTTCGACAGTGGCGCCAAGAGCTTCTAGAATTTGAGACTGCAAAAAACATTAATAAGAATCAGGATCTAGAAATATGACCGAGAGAATAACCCGAAATCTTTCTTATAGTTGCGAAATTCACATGCTAACAAAACAATGTTCTTGTGGAGAGAAGTTGAGCACAAAACATTCTGAACTCTGAAGAAAGCCAGAAAAAACATGACGAGTGAAACTCTACAACCTATTATGTAACTGATTATAGTTATAACCTTCTCAATTGCAGCATCATCAGGGATTACTACATGGCACCTGCAGCCATAGGCTGGAGCAACTGTTGCAAGGCTGATTGCTGTGCTTCCAGCACTTCCTTCTGTAACTACCCCACCAGGAGCTAGAGCTCCACATTCCAAGGCCTGTGAAAAATAATAGTGCAAACCAAAACACATTTCATGCTGAGGAAACTAAATTATAAAATAAAAAAATTTAGCTACCAGAGGAATGTACCACAGTCACACAATTTCAAGTAAATTCATTTATTCATGCATCTGCTATAATTCCAAGATCTGAAATTCTGAATCTGTACCCTAAACCCTCTTGTAGGACTCCAACAAAAAAAACTAAGAATGGGCTTCTCAGGGAACCCATTGCTGAATGGTGAAACTAACTAGGTTACATCCATTATGAGGACTCATTTTGAAACCATGGATATCAGCCTCTATGTATGGGAACAAACCCATATATGCTACAGGCTACTGCAAGGGTGGGTGAAGTAACTTATAGGGAAAAGATTTGTGATAATTCACAGAACTTAAAAGAGGCCGGTTTGTCTCAAGCTCAGCCAGGGGATGAAAGTAAAAGGCAAATAAGAATGGGAATATGGGATAATTCAAGTAGGAGATTGGGGTTTTCTCAAATTGAAACCTCAAAGGCAACATTCTCTTGATAAAACAAAGGACGTGGATATTAAATCCTAACTTCATTGACTCTCTCAGAGTAGCTAGAAAGGTGAGAATGATCAAACAAGGTTTCCCACCTGAGTATCATTCTCTTGGCAGATAGAACACTCATGCATACATTTCAAAACTCTACTTGAATAAGCAATAGTAATTCTGCTGATAATTTACTGTACAAATCCATCCACACTTCGTTTCCTTTCTTTCTCCATTCCTGACCGTCTTATGCATTTTCATGTCTATCTTATAATTCTCCAGCATTTATCATGAAGAATTATTCTATACTATCTGGGTGTGCTTCATAACAAAGACGAAAAATCCAAAACAATATCCGGAGAACAGCAAAAACGAATGCCAAATAGAGCTCATAAAAAGTAGAAGAATGAGAATTTGCCAACCTCTTCAATGATTTTAACTGCGACCCTATCTTTCACGCTACCTCCAGGATTCAAGAACTCTGCCTTTCCCAGAATCTGCCCACCAAAAACTTTTAATGAATGATTTACAAATAATGATAATTAGCAAAACAAACAAGGATTCAATCAAGATGGAAATTTTTACTTCGCATCCAGTAACGTCAGAAAGGCTATTGATCCTAATGAGAGGGGTGTTGCCAATGGCGGCGACGAGGCCACTCTTGGGATTCTTAAGTGTGCCCTTCCGGGTAGATGATTTCGAGCGAGACTTGTTGGTGGTGTATAGAATTATGCAAGAGAGCACGCCTATCACTGAAAGTAGAGTCAAAGCGGCGCCAGCGGTTCTGGCAGGCGGCGCCGTCATCGGCTATGCCTCCGAGAAACCGTTTCGGTTAATAAAAATTAAAATGGGTCTGGATATTAGTACCTTAAAACGGCAACATGGAAGCTATATTGATTTTGGGCTGAAAAAGGAAAAAACCTGCAAACGGGTAATTAAGCTCGGGGAGGGGGAGATAAATTCAATTGAGATTCGGGTGATTGGTAGCCGGAATTTGACTTATTACTTTAGCTCAAAATTTCATTATTATCAATATTATAAATATAATTAAATAATATCATTCACTTCACTATCTATAATATTATTAATATAATTAAATAATATCAATTATCGATCTACTGCATTGCAACAACTTTAATTCACCGAGTTCATTTTTGTTGACCTTTGAGCTCAATTATTTTCTTCTTGAGGGCCAGGACTTCGGCGGCATCGTGCCTCACCGATCTGCTTTTTAACAACTTTTAGCTTAGGTCGGGTGTGGCCTTCGACCGTTGGAATACTGAGGGGGACGTGGATTTCGTGTCCCAAGTAGGCTCCGACTGGCTTTCCCCCGTCTCCACAGTCTTTTTCCGATTGGAGGTTCTGTCTTTAGTAGTCCTTTGGCGACTTTGAGACCATGAAGTCTCATATGATTGAACCGGCTTCTTGCCTTTGTGTTGGGCCGAGTTCACATCCTTTTTGGTTGGTGTTTTTGGGACAGCCGAAGATGTTGGAAAGGTTTGTGCCAAGAGGCTCAGAAAAACCCTTTACAAAATCTGAATTTTGAAATAGCAATGTGAAGTCAATGTTTGGGGTCACCTTGTAGTTCTTGTCGACCCCAGAGAGTTCTTGATTTTCACGGCTTCAAGATGACATTTTTTCTTCAGTTGTTTAGTATAAATGTTGGTTGAGATTACTCCAAAACAAATAATGGAGCCTTTCTTCTAGCACCAATTTGTTTACCTATGAAAGATTGGGCCAACTGGCGGGTAATTTTCCTTAAGTATAAACGAGACAAATAATTAAAATGAGGTAGGATGACCGTCTTTATATAGTAAATTAGTTCGGATGTTGTGTAAATCTCATAAATAATTTTTAGAAAGAGAAAAATTCCTCTCCTTCATTCATAGTTTTTAAACCCGGCACAGAAATCGACCCGGGCAGGTCTCCGGGTCACCGGGTCACCAGTTCAACCGCCGGGTCACTGGGTCAATTACTGAACCGGATAATTAATTTTAAAATTTTTAAAATTATATATATTATTTTAGACATATAAATATACATAAATAACATAAATAAATATCTTGTATACAAAGTTTGTACATTTAAGTGTTAATAATATTGTATCTCACAATAAATATTTACTATATCATTATATATAAATAGTTTTTGTTTTTTATATAAAAAATATTTTAAAAAAATAAAAAATTTATAGAGACCCGATTGACCGGACCGGGTCAATGGCCCGGGTCGACCGTATCAAGGCTGGGTTGGCCGGTTTTGACCGGGTCCATTGTTACCCGGTCCAAATAGTCCACCCAGACCGGTTTCGGCTCCGGGTCGGCCGGGTCCTGGGTCGACCCACCGGGCCGGTCCGAGTTATAAAACAATGCCTTTATTACAATAAATGAGGGAATACTTATAAAACCCACAGGAACTGTTTACAAAGTTTGTACAGTAGCATTATATGCAATTTGATGGCGACGTGCGGCTCTGCAGGGGAGACCCACTCCTAATAGTCACATTTCGACAGTGTGATGGACATGCGTCTCGTCAGTCATTAATGCGCTGTTCGAAGTCGATATTTGAAGGATGTAGGTCGGCTCTTCTGGCTGGAAAACTGAGCACTTTACAGGAATGTTTTATCCGAGGCCGAGCTGATCGGCTTGTCCACTATTCAACCTTTGAGGTCGGGTAAAATTCGCTTTGTTTGTGCCGCGTGTCAGACGATGATGAGGTCGTCAGTTTAGATATCAACAGTATTCTTTGAGTCGACCAAATATATGGATAAGGTTACATATTTTAAGCTGCAATTTTTTGGGATGGACAAAAAAACAATCAATATTTCACAGTTATAGACTAAACTCAGCCAGTCGTGGAGAGTTCACTAGTTAGTAGATATAAAATAAATAGGTTTCGGTCCACGACTCCACATATAAATTATAATAATTTAATAAAAGTGAAAATTAAGGGGCAAATGTGCAATTTCCTCAAAATAAAACATTTTGGTAAAACATGTTGCTGTTTTCTCCAACACTTCCACAGTTACACTACCCGTATGCAATACCCGCCAGAAATGGGCAAAAAGGAGAGAGCACAAGAGAGAAGAGAAAGGCGCCGCCAAGAGATCGCTCTCCTTCGAGCAATTCCTTATTCCGATCAACAAAGGTATCATATGAATTACTTCTTTATCGATTGCGACTATACAATAATGATATTACTTTTAGCTTTGGAAATGCAATTTTTTGTGTGAAGATCGAATTTGGTGCTTTCAATATTTCTATTCGATGTTTTCTTCAGCGCAGCTGCGTCCACTGTGGGATTTAGATTACTGAATGTACTAGTTGTCACCCATTTAGGAAAAGGGCATATCATTTCCATGTTAATTTGTGTTTATGGCCTTAGGGGGTATAATGAATTTCTCCTATTTTAGGGGTTTAGGGTTTATGGTCTTGGATGCTGTTTCATAGCTCAAGTGTGTGCATTTGTTACATAAAGAATTTAGATACACTATACATAATGTTCGATTAAATATTGTTCAAGTGCTGTATTTATTTTCCTCAACCGGTTTTTGCTTTTCCATGGCCATCGTTGTGTACAAGGTTTCTTTAATAGCTTGGCGTGAGTTGTGAATACATGAAACTATCTGAATATATTTTTGACGAGCCTCAAACAAAACACATGACTATTAGGAATTTTAGAAGCCCTGTAAATAGTGTGGTAATATGCATCTTTCTGTTCTTATTATAATTGCAACTTGTAAAATNGTTTTTTTTTTTTTTTTTTATTGTTGCTTTTCATGATCCTTCGAATCATGTGTGCATAAGAGAAACCTTTTTTTGGTGTACAATGAATATTATTTTCGGCTGCTCTGCCTGTTTTTATATTTTCCCTACAAAACTGGGACATAGTGGATTATTATGTTACTTAGACCTAGTTGTTAATATTTTTGCATTCAGATGGTGGACTCCCAACACTATTGCAGTGGTTACAGGTTCGAATAGGGGAATCGGGTTTGAGATTGCGCGACAACTCGCATCTAATGGGTTGACAGTTATTGTCACCTCACGAGAGATTACTGCTGGAGAAGCAGCAGTTAAGGTCCTAAAAGAAGAAGGTCTTAATGTGGTTTCCCATCAGCTAGATATTTTAGATCCTTCGTCTATTGAAACTTTTGTACAATGGACAAAGGAGACTTATGGCAGCGTAGACATACTGGTAATCTGGGTGGATTATTTTACATTGGAAATTGTGGCTTTGCACGTGTTTATTATATTTGTTTGTGTGTAAAATGCCAAAAAACAGAGGTCAACTCGCTTCTTGTTCTTAGATCTCAAGATTCTGATGAGACTCGTATGATGCACTATTTCTAGGTGAACAATGCAGGAGTGAATTTCAACACAGGCTCAGACAATTCTATTGAATTTGCTGAGAAGGTTGTTGCAACTAATTTCTATGGGACTAAAAACATGATTAAAGCCATGATCCCTTTAATGAGACCTTCGCACTCTGGTGCTCGTATCGTAAATGTGAGCTCGAGACTGGGAAGATTGAATGGGCGGCGGAATGTAAGAGATTTGTTTATAGTTCAATCTCTATTTCAGAGAAACAAATGCAAAACTATATTTTGTATTCTGAAATTGTCAACCGAGTTTTGCTTGATTATGCAGCGAATAGGAAATATTGACCTGAGGAAAAAGCTAGAAGATGACGAATCCCTGTCAGAGGACTTAATCGACCAGACAATGGCTACATTCCTAGAACAAGTAAAAGACGGCAGTTGGGAAAATGGTGGATGGCCTCAAGTTTATACAGATTATTCCTTGTCGAAATTAGCAGTGAATGCGTACACGAGGATGATAGCGAGAAGATTAGATGGTCAAAAAATTTACATCAACTGCTGTTGTCCAGGCTGGGTGAAAACCGGCATGACTGATTGGGCTGGGCTTATTAGCCCCGAAGAAGGTGCTGATACTGCAGTTTGGCTTGCTTTGCTTTCTGATCAATTACCAAGTGGCAAATTTTTTGCCGAGAGGCGTGAGATAAATTTCTAGAGTTTGCACGAATTGGCATCGATTCAGATGTAGGGAAATATCTTGCAGACTAAATATGCTTCCAGGTGGAAAAAACACAACCACCATTAGAAGTTGATGGATCATGAATTGTGTTTGTAATTTGTATGAGATACTCTTCTGTAGTGAAATTAGTTTTTCTATATTCACACCAAATGTTAAGGAACTTTGGAACTTAGGCAATTACTGCTGTATATTAATATGGAACACACATTATAACAATTTTCAAGAATCCCAAGCTGAAATAAAAAAAACACTTTTGAAAGATGCATAAATATGGTAGAATATAAATTGAAATCAATCTAGATCCATAAATTGGCCTTCCTAAAAACTTGAAAGGAAGAATTAAAAATTAATAAATAAGTAAAAATGAAAATAAAACAAAAGTTTAAGAAAAAGATAGATAAAGTTAATATGCGGGTCGATACATTCTAACCCACTTAGAATATTTACGTCCTCGAAAATATTTATTACGTACCACTGGATAGATAAAGTTAATATGCGGGTCAATACATTCTAACCCCCTTAGACTATTTACGTCCTCGAAAATATTTATTACGTACCACTGGATAGATAAGACGGGTACTTGGAACGAATCTCCTCTTCTCTTTCCCATGTTGCCTCTTCTTTCCCATGTCCACTCCACTGAACTTTGATGAGATTTATAACTCTGTTCCTCAAATTTTGTGCCTTCTTGCCTAAAATAGCGATTGGGAATTCCTCGTACGTTAGATCTTCATTGATTGACACAGTAGATTGGTCGACGATGTGGCTTGGATGGTGGACATACTTTCTTAACATCGACACGTGGAAAACGTCATTTATGGCCGCAAAATTAGGTGGTAAAGCTAAACGTAAGCCAAGTCCCCAACTCGTTTAAGAATTTCAAAAGGTCCAATAAACCTCGGTCGAAGCTTGCCCCTCTTTCCAAAACGAACGACCCCTTTTAATGGTGCTACCTTCAAAAACACGTTATCTCCAACCTCAAAGTGAACATCCTTTCTAAACTTGTCCGCATAAGACTTTTGTCGATCTTGTGCAATTTTTATCCTTTCACGAATTTTCTTAATTTTCTCTTGCGTCTCCTAGACCAACTCAGGTCCCAACACTCTTCTCTCTCCGACTTCATCCCAGTAGAGTGGCGACCTACATTTTCTGCTATATAAGGCCTCGTAAGGCACCATTCCAATCGTGCTCTGGTAACTATTGTTATACTCGACCAGTGGAAGGAGTGTCTCCCAATCCTTTTTGGTGTCGAGAATACAACCTCTCAACATATCTTTGAGAATTTGATTCGTCCGCTCGGTTTGGCCATCCGTTTGCGGATGGTAACCTGTACTAAACTTTAAATTGGTTCCCATGGCCTTATGTAAACTCTTCCAAAATTTACACGTGAAACGAGTGTCTCGGTCGGACACTATAGATAGTGGAACTCCATGCAATCTCATTATTTCTTTTATATACATCTGCGTGAATTGATCCATCTTCATTGTCATCTTCACCGGTAGAAAATGAGCAGACTTTGTCATCCGATCAACAAGTGCGGTGTTGCCCCTACGTGTCAGAGGTAAGCCAACTACAAAGTCCATCAAAATATGTCCCCACTTCCATTCTGGGATCTCAAGGGGTTTTAGTAGCCCATAGCACACTCTATACGGCCCATCCAGGTGGCACCAAGATGTACCAAGACCTTAAGAAGATGTTTTGGTGGAATGGGATGAAGGCCGACATAGGAAAATTCATCGAGAGTTGTCTAACATGTCAACAGGTTAAGGCGGAGCTCGTTACAAAATGTATTATATGTATTTATTATTAATAATAAAATTGATTTATTTTCATTTATCTTTTGTAAACTAAATTATCCAAAGCACAATAGTTATAAAAATGCATTTTAAATTTTGTAATAATTTGTCGTAATTTATGAGTTTATTATATTTTATTTATTATTTGAATATTTATTTTATTATATGGTAATATATAAATCATATTATTTTATTTTATTTTGATTTATTTCATGTTACATTATTATATATTATTCAAAGTAAAGACCATTAAATTAAATAAATATAAAGAAAAAAAGAAAGTAAATAAAAGTAACACCTAAAATCTAACATTAAGTAAAATAAAAAAATAGAGATATACAAAAATTAAATAACATAACATAAATAAAAAACTAAATAAATGGAAAAATAATTTTATTTAAAATTAAAAAAAAATGGAAAAAAAAAGTTTTTATTGAAATATTTATATTTGTCGTTAAATTAACAATATTTTTAATGGTAGCTTCATGTAGTATTATTTTATTTAATTTATATATGTTTTATTTTACTTGTTTGTACTTATTAAAGTATATTTTTGTATTAAAAATAGTATACATTATATGTTTTAATTCTTTTACATTTTGTTTATTTTATTTTATTATTTATTCTATTTTATGATTCTTTATTTTAATTTATCTAATTTTAATTTTAATTTTTATGATATACAATAATTTATATTAATTTATCTTATTCTAATTTGTTATGTTTTGTAACAAATGTATTTATTTAGATATTTATGTGGTATCAATATCATTTAAAATGTTGCATTTTAATAAGTTGTGTTGGTGTAGTGGTTTGAGTGGAGGTTTTGTCTACCGAACCTTAAGGTTTGAACCCTCTATTTTTTATTTTGCCTAATAAAGTCATTGAGGGTAAAATGGTAATTTAATAAGTTTTATTAAATAATAAAAAAATACTCGCATAAACCGTGCTTGTAGTGCACTAACCGTTATCTTTGATGTGAGGGGGTAATTGTGCAAGCATAATCTAAATATAAGGGGTTTTCGTGCACTTTTTAAAATATAGGAGACAACGCATAAATTTTGCTAAATACAGTGGTGTACACTATACTTTACCCTTCTATGATATCAACTTTGGTCATAGGTCTAGTTTGAAGCACATTGGAGTTACATATGGTAGTTTTGTACAGGTTATCCGAGATATTATGGGATGAAGTTGGAGATTAGAGTTGCAAGTTGCAACATGTCTTCAAAGAATGTTTTTTCTTGGCGGATTTTTTAGCTTCTTTGGCCGCAAGTTCTCCAGGAGGCCTGCAAACGTTTAGAGGTTCAACCGGTTAGTCTAAAACTTTGGTTAGAACATGATATGTTTGGTGTAGCTTACTCTCGTACGATAGTGGCGTGGTTCTATTGTTGTTTTATTCCCTCTTTGTACCAAAAATAAAAATGTTATGTAATTTTAAGGGTGAATCACATCTTTTTGGGCATTCATGGACTTGTTCATTTGTCCGACCTTTAGACTCATGATATAGCATAAGACCCGCATATTACACTGGAAAACTACATTCCTTATCAATACACTAAAATCCACATAAAACATTTATAATAGTATCAATGTTCTAAAAGACATTAGACGCTCGCTAGGCGGTGGACTAAGAGTCAAGAAAATATTAATTGTAAATTTATTTATATCTATTGCATAATTTATAAGATATATTATATAAAATATATTACTTAATATGGTATAGTACCAAGATTGTACAAAATCTAACGCATTCATAATCATAGTATTAATTGTGAAATAATTATTATTTTTTTCATTATATAATATATATAAATATCATGTGTAAAAATTAAAATTATTTATATTTTTTAAATCTTAATTAAAAAAATTGAAAAAAAAAGCGGACCCCACCTAGACACATCATATCCGCCTAGCTCGCCCTAATCGTTGGAGCGCTTAAAACGACTGCCTAACCAAAATTCGGTGTCTAAGAGCTGCCTAAACCGACTTTTAGTACTGAGAATAGTATAGATAGATAGATATAAATATAGATTATTTTATACACATTAATATAAGAAATACATTAATGTAAATATAATTCTTTAAATTCCTGCAATACTGCAGGTGCGCTGACGACCGAGGCAAAAATTGTTTGTTTATGAGCTCCCAAGCAAGTACAAAAAAAGTAGATATTGCAGAAAGACCCAAGATGCTTGACCCGATCCACTTGTTTGCGGCCTCATGATTTTGGGGAATGCTTTCACTATCTACTATCTAGTAAGAATAATTAATTTAATTATTGTTATACTTATCATTATAATTAACTTTTAATAATCGGTCTTGTTGATATCTCGAAATTGGAGAGCTTAACTCGGTATGAGGTGGTGAATTGCTAATTTTAAAACGATAACTATGTGTACCACAAATGAATTAAATGGATAATCANGTTCTTGGAATTGCACAAACAAAGCCTGAAGCCAGGCTTCTTTTTCATAAACAAAAAGGAAGCAAAAAAGAGAGTGTGAACATTTTACAAGGAAGATTGGTGTATGGGGGCCCCGAGTCCCTGGTTTTTGCCTCTTCTGAATTTTCTCTGAAATAATGTACTTTGCCAAGGAAAGGTAAAATTCTTAATTGTCTCCCCTTATTGGCTAAGTTTGTTGACAGGGGCCCCCCCTTTCCAAAAACCCCTCAACCTCAAATCAAACAAACCATATACTGATAAAATATCTCTGCGCCACCATCATTCATCAGCATGTGTCAATTTTCTAACCATCTTTCCTTTTTTATTTATTTTATTATTATTATTATTTTTTTTCTTATAATGATGAGAAATCTCTGTAGATCCTAGTGTTTTGGTTCAAATTAGGTAAAGCATCAAGCTTGAGGGCAACGGTCAGTTGGTGTGATTCCAGCATGAGCCACAACATGCCTAATGGTTATGCGACATACATAATAACTTGTGAAGAACAAAATCTAAAGCCAAGACACACATTTTTCCAAATTAAATGATTCCCACCATGAACTAATAAAGTAGTCTTTTAATATCAGACTATCTTCCTAATTAGTTAGATTACTTGTGATGTATATGGGTGACCTAGATCTGATGTGAACCGGCTGTTGTAGAGCTCATAAACATCAAACAACCTGCAAATGGGGCCGAGAGGGTTTCCCGTCCTTAGTGCTCCGATGCCCAAGTTAGTACAGTGAATAAGGTAGTAAGCTTTGTAAGTAGAGAGTATGTAGAGTGTGTAGAGATTTTATAGTGATACCTCAATTCCTCTTATAGGGGTGTTTTGGTGTCCAAGATTGAACTGTCCAGTTGCCCCAGCCAGCTTGCTCGAAACAGTTATGGGCTGTCCGAGGTTTAGTCTTATTCTAATGTCATCCTCATCATCATTAGATTTTCCTTGGTTCCTATTAGGTCTTTTACTCGACCTACGCTCTTGGGTGTCTGCCATAGTCCAAGTATAGAGATATGTATCCTGAGTATCTATGAATAGAACTTCCGTTATTATTCTGGAGATCGCTTTCAGCAGTGGCTTAGGTCGTTCCTTCTTCGTACACCAAGTCGTTTCCTCATGACTTTTAGTCAACTTATTCCAACAGTCATTTCATACGATCATTCCTCTATTCGACTTGACTCTTTCCTCTGCCAGTCGACCTACTAAGACTTAGCACCAGTGTGGTCTAGCCCTACTCTAGATATATCAACTTGGCATTCATCTCTCTAATCCTACGAGTTTTAATTAGAATCATATAAAATATTTGTACTCTAAGACAAATCTGAAAAGGTTTTATACGACCTAAGGTAATATTTAGTATTACAAAAAAAATTATTTCAGCTTGATATATGAATTAGTTCACATTTTTAAGCGACATTAGATTCATATTCAAGTACTTGTAAGAAAAAAAATGTTGGAAATTAAATCAGATATGAAAAACTTGAGTTTGACACGATTTTAACTGATCTTTTGATTTCGTCATTAAGTTTCTAACAAAAACGACAACACTTGAGATGTGATGGTGGAATTGAATGGAAAACATGCAACATAATGCATATAATATATATAATATAATACGAAGTATGATGTGGGAACATATATTAATATTAGGCATCATCATCATCATCATAATAATAATAATAATAATAAGAATAGAGAATCACTGCAGTCCCCTTACGGAATGATTCCGTAGTTATTATTAGCTGTTAGATATATATGTAGATTAGTGTAATGTAAATAAATATGGTTAAAACACACTGAAAGAATCGTCTCGTGACGGGACTGTAGTCATTTTCATAATAATAATAAATTAATAATAATATTAATAATAATAGTTATTGTATATGTAATAAATAGGTAATGAT